TCAGACTATATATATATATATATATATATATATATATATATAAACATGATGCGTTTAAGTTCATGAGCAAGAAAGATGTTTAAAACGTTTACATTTCTGTTGTTTTCCTTACACACATATGGCTTAACATAGGAAGCGTGATTATTTCATTAAATTTGATTATGCATTTTTGCAAATCTAGATTTTCCTGAATAAAATTCTGGCACCTGTTATAAGCCCCCAAACAGGAGCTCATGCTGTAAATGCTTTCTACCCTGCAGCAATGCGTTTTAGAACTGCACACCTTATATTCAGATAAACGCAATGGACTAATTATAAGACTAAGACACACACACGCAAAGTAGATTGTGAAGCCATCCTTGGTTTTGTTCAAACATAGAAAGGACAGGGTTCTATACGCCATACCCAAGCAGAATGGGAACTTTGCGACTTCAATGGGGTTAGAGATAGATCAGTTTCTTTAAGAAATGGATGTATTCCCTTAAAATTAGTTAAATATGGGGAGATTGATGTTTTACTTTTCTTTGTTTTACTTACTGTGACGGGCATGAGGGAAAATGAAAAGGAAAGAGAAAAAAATACCGAGTTCAAGAAATGTAGAAGGGTTGAGCCTCTAATTAGGATCATTTGTAAATTAGTTAAGATTTTTTTTAAGTGTAGTATTAATCTGTCTTATCTGGATCTATTACACAATATAAATGTTTCTTTGTCTAATTTTCAAAAGGTTTTAGCTGAAGAACATAATGAATTCCTATTGTTAACGTATAACGTATAAATCTGCTTTTACACATTTTTCTTAATAGTTAGCTAACAATTGCTCATTTGACTCTTTGGTGTAGTCTGGTGCAATAGATTTGATCCATTATTTTATGAATTGTTGCTCTGAAGATGTCGCACTGACATTTAGAAGAATACCTCAGAACTTTCAAGCGCAGCTGTTATGTTCCAGCAGATCAGTTATATCGAGACATGCAAATACTCATAAGAATATTGTAAAATATATTTTTTTTACAAATGTCTCTGCGGAGGGAGGGGGCTGCTTTTCTTTTGTTTTGTTTGTTTCCATGCCAAAAATGGCACAGTCCAAATTGGGAACAAATGGCTTGCAGAATCGCCCTCCCCCCCCCCAACCCCGGCCGCCTTCCTCCAGGAAGAAAGCTTGTTTGAATTTATAGGCACTTTTTTAAAAATAATAATTTCGCGTTTTAATTCTGAAAGGGCTAGTATGTGGTTTTCTTTGAACTCCCTTATTTTAAAAATGATTGAGTGAATGTGTTGGGAGGGTTTTTACTTTTATTTTTGTTTTTTTAAAATGTGTAAAATAGACCAATAAATAAACTTCGCTCCTGGTACGGGGCGTGGTAATGCAAGTTTCAGCCCGGAGCAAATTTTTATAAGTTATAAACCCCTAGAAAAATAAGCGGTTTTAATTGAAACCCTGACGGATTCGGAAGTGCGCACCAGCGTACTAGAACATACTGTTCATCTCGTTGGGACCACCAAAGCACCCATGCAATTGTGATTTAACTGCTTGATTAAGTGGCTTGATTAGGACGTCTCCCCGCCCCATTGACGAATGTATAATATTCACACCAAAGGCTGCAGCGGATCTAATTGTGTAATACATTGGGCTGCAAGCGGTTACACATCCGAGTAATTCTACTGATGTGAATGGGTCAGTCTCGGAGAGCTAAAGCATTACTCCCCGGAGTAAGGGTTTGCAAGAGCAGCACCAAATATTTATCCGATTCCAGTGTCTATAGGGCTGTGATAAGAAGTCAGACATAAAACATTCAATAGCAATGAAAACTCTTATTGGCAGAGCAGCTTTGCGGCTAATTTTGGCCTCTCTGTTCTCATTGATTTTTGAGTGTGCGCCAAGACAGTTAAATTGAACTTGCTAATATTTTAGTGGCTAAGTTCTACAGACTTCGGTTACTTTCATTTAAATATGCTCTTGGCTTTATTCTTGTTATCTTGAGTTCGGGCCTGATCCTGCGTTGCAGTCAATGGAAGATGTGCTTTTTGAGGCCTCCAGCATTGGAGCCTTCATATCTGGAAACCATGGTACTGCCTTTACTATTTGGGAGGGAAAGAGGTGGGCCGTTGCAAGCCAGCTTTTGCCTTGCTATAAAATAGCACAGACATGTGTCTAACATATATAATTGCGTCGCTAGTGTACAAACATAGCGTCTCTTCTCAAAGTCCTATCCAGAAAAAAGGTTGTATGTCAAAGATGTTGAGGAAGATTGTGTATATTTCCAGTTCCTTACCTAACTGCAGATCTAGGAGCACAACCATACGCTTAAGTCAAGATAAGGGGGGAAAGAACCCCATGCAGGGGCTGATCCTGTGGGAGCGGTGGGGGCACCAGCAAGGAAGACTTTCATCAGGCTGCCCCTCCTAAATGAATGGGGAGCTGCACTGTATAGTGGCTAGCACAGATTGGCCTACAAGCATCTCCTGGCTCATCTCGGTTGCCTGTGATAAATGCGTGTGTGACTTTGCTTTAACATGATCACAAATACTATAGCAACACGAGTGTCATTCGGTACAGAGACCTCATCCCTGACAGGAGCACTGAAAATGCATCTTACTTGTCTAAAATGTGGGGAATTAAATAATGCGGCTTCTTCCCCCTCTCCCTGCCCCCGAAGTGACTCTTCCAGGCAGGCTACTTTTGAAATTTTCCATTAACACATTTTGGTAAAAGTGCACGTGTTTAGTTAATTCTCTTTTACCATCGCTGCGTGACTTGGTGCATTTGATTTTGCTTTGGCTGCCAGTGGCTAGCCTGTGTTTTAGTCAGAGGCACACAGAAAAATTGCTCCCCACAAATGTAGCTATTATTTGACTGATTCCCTTTCCTCTGGCATGAAAGGCCGTTTTAACCTCCTCTGCTCCGCGATCAGCGTGGGGAAGCGGGGCGCTTTTCCATGTGGATCCGGGCGGCACCACCAAGACTGGACCAGACAAGAAAGCGACAAGAACCAGGAATGAGCTTCCCAAGAATGTGAGGGCAAGACATTCTAACTGGGATGTCAACGGCTGGCGGTGACGCTGTTCCCTTTCTCGCCCGCATTTTTGGGTGTCCAGTGATTGACTTGTTCGGAACTCGAGTACTTTCATTCCCACAACCTGCCTGAACGTTTCAGCAGACTGCAGGGGAGTCAGAGCAATGTTATCTCCGAAACATAATGCTAATAAATGTGTTCATATGTTGGACATTCCCCTGTCCTGTTTTATGGGGTTTCACTGGTGGTGTTTTAATGGGCTGGGTCATTGAGACTGATGCTAGCAAGGTTATTAGGATTAAGTAACCTAATGAATCGTGTTACCATTAGCGGGCTTTGAAGGAAGGTTGTTTTCCATGCAACGTGGTTTTGTGACTCTTAACACGGACAATTATGTTTAAGTGTACCTGGATAAGGGTTGGGGGTGGAAATCGTTTCCTTTTTTAAAACTGAGTCTCTTAGGCGCAGCTAAAGAAAGAGACAGAAGGCTGTTTATTTTTTTATCCTGTGAATGTCCAGAGTTGCTCATTGAGCCAGAAATCTTGTCCGGGTTTCCATGATATTTTAAAGAGCAAAAGTCATGTAAGCGGCTCCCTTGTGTATGTTTCTATTTGTTCGAAATAGATAGAAATGAGATTTCTCTCTGAGATGTTATTTGGTGAAATTATTTAGACAAACCAGTCACAAACAAACCCACACCAAGAGGGACTGACCGATTTTTTTTACTAATGGCATTTAGAAAAAAATCGAAGGCGTTATTTAAAAAAAAAGAGTTCAATTTTATTTTGAAGAACGAAACAGGTAAGCAACATTTTATTTACTCTGTAACTGCTTGCATTGCTTAATGTTTGTCTTATGCATACTAGAAACGCTTTAATATCTAACTACATTTTTTGGTACTTTAGGAAGGAGAGACCAAGGTTTCGGTTTTGTGTAATCACAAGCTCTGGCAAATCTAGTGGAAACAAAGTTTCATTATAATGCAGAAAAGATCAGAAACTACTACGTTAGCATACATTAATGAGCCTCTAGCTCTCTCCATTAGATAAAATACATCCGATTGCAGTGGGTAATGTTCAATCGCATGTTTGCCAGAAATCCACCAATTTCTTTGGCTGACTGGGAACTACATTCTTAGCTTTTCAGATGTCATCACTACCAGACAGAGAAAAACAAACAGAGGAAAAGAGCTGTACCAAAGGCGTCAGCTCTGAAACACGCAGCCATTTTATTTGGATTCTGTATTGTTGGGAAACCAATAAAGTGAAATTTATCTCCTGCAGCTCCAGCTGGACCATGATTTGCTGTATTCTCTGCACAGTGTATGCTGCCTGCCCACTCTCTGCCACTCTGTGCAAGGCTCAGAAGCAACCAGCAGGTTGACTTGAGTGAACTCGGGCGCCATCCACTGTCTTCTTTCTACTGGGCAAACTAGGCAAGGGAAACTGTTTGGCAACCGGATTTAGATTAATACCGTGGATAAATTTGCCATTAATTGCCCTCCGGAGAGGGAGTTTTCAATGTAATTATAATTTATGGATTGTAATAATCACTCGAGGGTGACCATATCTGTTAATGGCTAATTAAATTAGATCATATTTGAGATATTTGTCTGGTGTTTATATTTCGGACTGTTCTCACTTTTTAAATACATGTAGTTTCACAATGCAAATCTTTTAAAGAGCATAACCGGAGAGTGGCTAGAGAGGAGGAGGAGGAAAGGTGATAAACCACTGATTTGGGTACACACATGTTTTATTTCTTTTGTTCGGATGAGAACTGATGTTTATCCATTTGTATCCATGATGATTTCGGTGTGATTTTAGGGTTTTGGAGTGATTTTTTCTCAATTGTAAGGACACATTTAAACATGGGAACGCACTACATAATATCTTCGCATCCAACCTTAAAGCGACGCTTTCAAAGCGAGGGGAAAGGCAATGAGTCGGTGACAAGGCAATCAACACGTCTGGACAAGGGCAGGACAAGCGATTCTTGACAGGGGCACAGAGGCACAGGTGTAGAGGGGTGAAGGACAGGCTGGGGGGAGAGGGATTCAGCATCAGGAACCAGGGATTGTCGGGGAATGTAGCAACAAATACAACTAACTGTTCTGAACCTAGTCACTGGACTTCTTCACATTAGTGGACAAGTTGGTGTTTCCACCTGAATTACAGAGCAAAGAGCGTCCGATCTCTTACAGCATACAGTTGGGTATCCGTGGTTTAAAGATGGGAGAGTCCGATCTTTTACAGCATACAGTTGGGTATCCGTGGTTTAAAGATCTCAGTGACATAACTTTATATAAACGGATTAATCACGCCCACGGAAACTTAACTTATAAGCATACGGTTTATTACTAAACACACATAAAAACTGCCTTCCTCTCTCTCTCTCTCGCCATTTCTAATGACATATAACTGGCGTTGTAATGAAGATTAATATGCTGTTTCCACAAACTGATGACATATTTTTCAGATATAAAATGATATAATTGCACTAAACACCAGCCGCAAACCAAAATACACGTTTTCCGACCAAAAAAGCACATAATTATGTGGTTCAGCTGCAACCCACACTAAATGTACATCAATATAGGCTAAGGATTTTCCTTCTTAAAGAATTTATTGTCATGAGGTTTCGTCTTTACTTCACTCAGCACCGTCATTATCTGATCATGGATTTCTCTCTGACACTCAAAGCAGTTCAAGTTGAATCCGAATTTTGAATCGGGTTTTGGTGGTGTTTGCTTTTAAGAACTCAATCTAAACTAGCGATCCACTTCCACAAACGGACACGTTCTTTGTTCCAGGATCACTGGCAATAAATAGAAGTTTTTCTACTACCTCTAACGCGGCGTAAAACACGATGACCATATTTTCCACCATCCGATCCGGATTCCTCCGGGTAGGGAAGGAACTGGCTCTGGATATCTGCTTCTGCTTGGCTATTCCCAGGAGCTGCTCTGGGTCATTAGTTTCGAGCTCCAGATAGCTCTGAATCATTTTCTTTTGGATGGTGGTTTTAATTAACTTTCTGCAAGCTGGAGTTCAGGCTTCTGATATATTGAAATGAAGGAGGGAGTTAAAAGCCCGGTTTGTCTGCCACTAGCTTAATAACGTTTAGTGTGTTGTTAGTGTAAAAAAAATCAGGACCCGTATTAATACTGAACCCCTGGAAAAATAGGAGTCCTTTGTCTACCCCACCCCATTTCTCCGGACATGTGTACTGTCTCTTCTAACTGTGCATTTCACAAAGTTGTTTCCGGGATATTAATATTAGAATTCCCGATCCCGAAAATGATCACACCTGCAGCTTTAGCTAGATCCCGGTCAGGGGAAAACCCTGCTCATTTGCGGGAGTCATTTATAAGGGCACAAACCAGCTCAGATTTCGTTTCCCCTAGTCTCACTCCCGATATAAAATCATAGCGTATAAATTAGCCCTTTCCTGGCCAGTATTGCACCTATCCCCTGCAGCTGCTGCTGGCACAGAGGTGCTGACTGCACGCGGGATGTCGCATAGCTGACCCAGATCTGCCTCTTAACGCCAAATTATATTGGCACCATAATATTGGCATTCTTGCACTTACCAGGGCCTTCAACTGCACCTTTCCCTCTGGAGAACGTAGGCGGGGAAGGAACAAGGTGTCTGTCTGCAAATGGGAAGGGATGCTTCAACCTGCCTATCTTGGAAAATCTCCACTTTCCCATATTATGTCAAATTCATATTACTCTTCACACCCTGTTAAGAATTCACGCCTTGGAAACTGCTAAATGCTTCCAGCCACACAGGTACCTCCCTCCAGTGAGTCAGCCAGCCCAGCGCCTCTTTCACTCCTGATTAATTAGAACCGTTCGGTGGAGGTTTGGATTTTAGCACATTAGCTGTGTTCAGAACTGAACAAGGAATCGCTCTACCGTTGGAAATTCCTCAGATTCTTCCTGCTTCGGTTCACACATCAGGCCTACTTCTGTCACTGCTCGTGGGTACATCCTTTTCGGGGAAAATTTGGGACCGCTTTCAGAGCTGCACCAGTTTAATAGTTCGGATGCCAGCCATTTGGCGTTAAGAGGCAGATCTGGGTCAGCTATACGACATCCCGCGTGCAGTCAGCACCTCTGTGCCAGCAGCAGCTGCAGGGGATAGTCGTGGGCGGAGGGGGAGGACAGAGACCGATCAAAGGAGATTTGGAGGCAACAAACAGTAAATGGAGTTGCAGAGCTGCATTGAAACTAACACACCTTGTATTTTATAGGTTTGGTCTAGGATTTTACTTCATCCTTGAGCGTGAAGCACTGGAAAAGGAACTGGGGTGTGGCCTGAGGCTGTTGCAATGAAATCAAGAGCAGCTTTGCCATTAACTTAAATGAAACAGAACAGAGCCCTAGATTTTCCATGTACCTGTTTAGCCTGTGAGGTTTTGAAGAGGTCACATCTTCGCGTGTATTTTCAACCTTGTTGGTTTAGCATTATTGCCTTGAAAGGAAAACAGTCATTTTCGACACCAACTCTTGCATCTGGATAGAAAACAAGTCAGAATACTTTTGGTATTCTGGTGAGATTAATATGAAGCTAACTGATAATGGCACTTTCACTGAAAGGTTAGTGCAAAAGAATATTAATTTCTCAATATAATACTGTATCACCTTCGTTATTAATGTGAAATCTTGCCCAGTAGAGGATACTCGATGCTCTGCTGCACTTGCACACACTGCTCATTCAGATCATGTGTTAAACTGAAACAAGACATTTCATTCTGTAGCAAAATCTCCCGCCCTCTCATCGGACAGTTTTAAAACAAAAAAAACTAAAGAACTTTGGCCCTCAGTTACACCAAGTGCAATCATATGGTTCCTGTCTTGCGTTCCGAGTGGTTAGCAAGGCGTTTGACTGAAGGCAGATTGTTAAAATATTATAATCTTTGAGAAGGAAGGTTTTTTCTCACCTGTTTGTTTAGGGGGAGGTGAGATGGGTGGAAGGGGCGGTTTTGCAGTCCTCACAATTAGAAGTTCAGAATACAGATGCGTGACGTACGATTGTCCACCATATTTCTGGACCCAAAAGCTTCAGGTAAATAGACGTACTTAAAACTCGGGCTGTTGTTTCCAACCTGAAATAAAACATTGGATTTTCATCTCGTGGTTCTAAGCAAGTGCCCCGACAAATTGCGGTTTTTAAAAGCCTTATTTTCAGTCTGGCACTAGCATTATGCACAAGTCCCAGATAATGGCCCATTCGAGCCTATCCTGGGGCAGATCCTCAGTTGGTGTAACTGGTCATAGCTCCATTGATTTCTGCCTTCCCTCCCTTCATCATCCACACAATACCCATCCACCACCATCACCACCCCCAACATACACACACATACACAAACACTTTCTTGGAATCACAGTTCTCCACCCATTATCGCTTGAGTGATCTCCAGCTCTGGTCAAAACCCGTCAGTTTGTTAGACGATTAAAAAACAGAACAAACAATGCTCTAAATTTGACTTTATTTGATTTCTTAAAATTACCAGAAGTGTTCAGCCTCCTTTATGTAACGTTTGTGCGCGTTGGGGAAATCCTAAAATTGGCCGTCCAGTCAATAATCACTAGAAACATGATGAGATGCACGTTTCTGGTTGATTAGCTATTTTACAATTAATTAATACTTCGATATTATATGGATTTATTCATAACGGGGCAAGTGCGTGTGTGCGTGAGAGAGAGAATTTTTGGTTATTGTTTTAAGGTTTCAGTTTAATAAATATGACTAAGAGAATAGTACACTTCAAGACTTTTCACCGCCATTTCAAAGCATAATTTTGTCAGTATTGATACTATACAATTTTAAAGGAGTTTGAAATATTTGTAAGCTATACATGCATTGTGCATTTTCGACATTTGGTTTCAGTTTTTCCTATTTCACGCAGGAGTACACCAAAGTCCTGATCTTGCATTTCTTCACAATGAGGACAACTTTTGGGTGCACAGAAAATGCAGGAACTGGCAAGCCCCTAAATAACTGGTTACAGGTCATTTTTTAGGATGCTAACGTCTTTAGGAGCATGCCACAATTGCATAGTTTGCCTAATTTCACAGCGAAGATTTACACACACACACACACAGGAAAGGTTTCAGAGTAGCAGCCGTGTTAGTCTGTATCTGCAAAAAGAACAGGAGTACTTGTGGCACCTTAGAGACTAACAAATTTATTTGAGCATAAGCTTTCGTGGGCTAAAACCTACTTAATACATGGACCATGACAACGGTAATAGTGGTTGTTCTGTTAACTGTACATCGCACTTGCATATTACAGGTATCATCTGGTATCCCAAACCTGGCATTAACCAAGCTAAACTAACTCTCATCTGAACTGCAGCCCTGCTACAAAATATCTTACTCCGACATGCTAGCGATTACATTTTTATTGTTGTTATAGTGCTGAAAAAAAGCAGTGTCTAGATGAGAAAATAAAAATATGCCCACTCCTTTACAATTTCCTCTTTTTAAAGTGCCATGGTTACTACAACAAAACAATACAAAACCAAATAGAAAACGGGACCCCCTCTCCCAAGCCCCAAACAATCAGATTATGTATCAAGTCCCACTCCAAACCTTCCATTAGCTGACCGGAGGATTTCATGAATAGGGCCATATAATTTCTACCCATCACTTTAGTATGTGAAAGCCTCGCAATCTTAGATGTAGTTGTCCTCATAATACCCCTGTGAGGTAGGAAAATGCTACTATCCTCATTTTATAGACAAGGAACTGAGGTACAAAGAGGCTAAGTGACTGTCCCGGGGTCACACAAGAAGACTGTAACAGCCTTTCAGTAACAGCTGGAAAAAAAGTTGTTCATATTTAACATGAACTCACCATTACTAAGGACTGGCTGGAGTTGGAAAAAACCTTCGTCTTGGGCCTAATCCAAAGCCAATAGGAGTCTTTCCATTGGCTTCAGTGAGCTTTGGATCAGGGTCTAATGGCACTCTTAGGTTCTCCTTAAAGACGTAAAACAAAATAGAGTAATTGTTAAAGCATAAATAAAAGGGGAGTTTCAGCCTAGACCCTGCGGCCCTTAGTCAGGCAAACGTTCCCCTGAAACCTCCGGGAAATTATGTTTGTTTTACTCCAGCAATTTGGACTAATCGCCAAAGTAAACCCAGCAGGATTTGGCCCGGAAGGAGGTTTGCCTCATTAAGGAGTGCAGGATGAGACGATGGGCAATATAACTAGTATTCCTGTTCCCAGAGATAACATTTCACAGCTCAGTGAAATAGACCCTACTTTTTTATTTTTAACCATCGAACCGCATTTTATTTACACTTCACAACTCCATATATTTCCCCTCACCCCCCCCCATTATTGGTTTAATATGATATTTGCCCTCTGTGAAATCAAACTTAATTCCTCAGATCAGCCTAGTGACATGCAACGGGTGTCTAATTGGACGGCACTTATTATACACCGAATAATTCTGCATTTCTAATTATTTCGTTATTCATCCATGAAAACCTGTGTAGTGACCAATTGTCTTGAATCAGGTCCAAGCCACATTGCAGTGCATTGTTGAGGTTCTGTTCGTGAGGCACAGTAGTGAGATCTGCGTGAGGTTTGCATTGTGTAGCTTAGGCTTGAGAGAGGCTCATTGGTTGTGGTGGTTTATGGGGCCAGTTAGAGGACAACCTATATCAAGCGTTTTGATACTAAAATTGACAACTGTCTTGTATTGTCTTTTGAAATAATGCACTGCTTTTCAAAGTGCTACTGTAACCGCCCGTGTTCCATCCACAGAAATATCTGTATCAATTGGCTAGGTACCATTATTTTTCTCCACTAAGTGAAATCTTACCTCTTTCATTTCTTCAAAGGTCAAGTCCTAATTATGGAGGATCACTTTTCAAATGCAATGTCTTGCTTTGCTTCAGGCCTAAACCAGAGACCGTGGAAGGACAGATATAAAGTATACACTCTCAAAGGCTTATCAAGTCTTTACTGCATGGCATCCTATATTTAAAAATGAACTCCAGTTCATAGCAGTTTTGTAGAGTTTATTTATCTGTAGAGTTCTAAGCATATTTACATCAGACATGAAGACCTTCACAAAAGCTGAATTCCTCCCATCTGATGCCGAATACTTTTTTAAAAAGTGAAATAAGATATGGATTAAAAAGAAACACAGCCAAGATGAAGTTGTCAAATGTATTATTTTTACAGTGAATTTTACAGATTATTATTTAACGTATCAAGTACTTTGGCAACTGTTAGAATCGTAAAAAAAGAACCCCCCTCGGAATCTGAGAACTAAAGAGCGGTAATATAATTTTCTGGGATAAATAACATGAAATCATAGGAACTGGCTAATCTGCAGATGTTCAGTAAGTATCCAAAATGCTCCAATATGTATTCCAAATGTGACGGCGATAAATGCGCCCACCAGTCAATGTGTATTTTTATTTTTTGGCTTCTTTTGATACACATTGTAACTTTGGACTTCCAGAAGCTACACACTTTTATGGAGAAGCGAATTTCCGCCATTGTCTTTACTATTAAACAAGAATCAGAGGCACATGACCTTTGCCATTCTTAGCTCTTTCCTGGATTATTACTATATTCGACTCTTTTCCTTTGAATTGTTTTGTAATCAGTAAATTGGAATTAACCATTTCCTTATTCTAATTAGTTATATTGCGTGTGACTTTTTAATACCTGTGAGATTTGTAGGGTATAAAGTGTGCGCACACTGAAGACATCTTGCGATCAGAGAGGCTACTTTTTGTACTAGAAAGTAAACAAAATAAGCACTTAAAATACATAGGTTTTTCCAGCCTTGTTCCTTGATTGTGAGCTGGTGGGCTTGGTCTTCATCGTGCTGCCTGAATCCAAGCAGCCGTACACATTTTTTGTAATTAGGAAAGGATGTCACAAGGACTGTTGTTTTGGGAGCCTCGGGAGTCTGCAAATCTCTGGGCTGGATATTGCTCCAAACCAATATGGTAAAGAGAATTAAAAATGGAGCTCACAGCCGCCAAAATTCTACGCATCTCTTTGAAACAGATCAAATAATTACGTTTGCAAGCCAAATGTTTCTTCAACTTCATGGGGTGCTTAGGAGAGAGAAGAGAAAATTAAACTCCAGTTTCAGGACAGGGGCTACTGTGCAGGCCTTTTCCCACTCTCATTGAAAGCAGAAATCCCATGGACTTCAATGGGAGGATCGGGCCCTACATACGTGCTGGCGCATCCTTAGGTGGATTTTAAATGCCTACATGACATTAGGAAGTGGGACCAACGTGACTATAGCAACACTTCAGACATTAGTAAGTAAGTATATTCATAAATCACATTTTCCCCTAGCTGAGGTTCTACACGTTTTTAAGGTGTATTTTTATTCAGGAATTTAATGGTCGCTTTACAGAACTTTATCGAATACATGAAATGCTTTCAAGTATCAGAGGGGTAGCCGTGTTAGTCTGAATCTGTAAAAAGCAACAGAGGGTCCTGTGGCACCTTTGAGACTAACAGAAGTATTGGGATGCAAGACATCTGAAGAAGTGAGGTTCTTACCCACGAAAGCTTATGCTCCAATACTTCTCAAAGGTGCCAGAGGACCCTCTGTTGCTTTTTATGAAATGCTTTCGACAGGTTTCCCAAAAACTCTTCATACATTTGGGCCGGATCCAAAGAACGCTGAAGTCACCTAGAAGACTGAACAGGCTTTGGATCAAGCCCCTTATTCACAGGATTCTGAACACAAATGGGGTTTAATTCTGCAAACCATATATTGCTTGAAGCGGTCAGGATTTCCAAACAAGGTAGTTTAAACTCCTATTGCATTGGAAGGAGGCTGTGTAATGTTAAAACCCCAATTTAATAAAATACACAGTTTATGAGGCAGGATTATTCACTCAAAACTCCCAGTGAAGTCCGCGGGACTTTCACATGTGTGCTGAATACAGGATTGAGGGTTATTTGTTAGTGAGACAATGGGAGTTTTGCTATTGATTTGGTAGAGGGATAAATGGGCCCTATTTCTTTTCTCACACTGGTATGAGGACCCGCTCCTGACGTTTTTATTCAGGCAAGAATCATGTAGAAGTCTGCGTGATGTTTGCTTGAGTAGGCACTGCAGGAAATGGCCCAAAGTTATTATAAATAGCAACATTTCAGTAGAGGGATGAGTGGGGAACAAACATTTTTGTAACAGGCAAATGGATTGTGTAATTAGATGGTTTCCTGTGCAGTGCATTACACATGAAAATGGTGATGAATATAACTTTTTACTCTGGATTTTTTTTAAAGCGTTCCATTGCCACTAATAGCTAGATGTCATTTAAAATTATAGTTTGCAAAATTCACAAGAATGTGCTACAAAGTAGTTGTTTTCAACACTCTTTTAAATAAGAGCAAATACACTATTTACGCCAACGTCTTCATTCACTAGCTTCTTCTGCCTACACTGCGCTCACGAATCCAAGCTGAGGAGTGAAAAAAGTCATATGTCTATTTTAACAATCTCCCAAAAGATCACAGTGTAAATTTACTAGATCGTCTGTTCCAATCCTGAATTGGACACATAATAAAAAGAAACTTTTTCCCCTGTAGATTTCTTACATGAAAAGCCAACTACAGCCGCAAAGCAAAGCAGACAGGGCCGTTTCGAGCCGAAGGTGGAAATCCCAGTGAGTTTGTGGTTACAGGCTGTGGGGCGCGTTCCCAATAGTGAGTGGAAGGTTTTTAAAGAGGCCTTTCAGTGTAGAGATGGAGGCTGTATTTCCTATCTAGTAAACAGCTTAGGATTTAGCCCGAGAAAATTTCGCAAATATTTCAGCTGCGTGCCCTTTGGGAAAACACTTGGATCCCCTTGGCAGCACCAACTCTTGAACCAGATCTGCTCAGCTACATCCCGACTAGAGTCAATAAAGTAAAATCCCCTGAGCAGCCCGGAAAGCAGTGAGTCCAGGTACTAATATTTCAGTCCCAACCTCACCACCTTTCAATTAAAGAGGAAACAGCTGCGTTTGAAGCAAGGAGCATGGGAACGCGCTTCTTTCTGTCATAATACTCTCCTGGATCGCGAAAAAGCTGAGGAGGGGCTCGTAATGAGGAAGGAGTCTCAGGCCCAGCTGATACTGCCAGTGCGCAGAGCGGTGGGACAACTGGCGCGACGCTCTTGGCTCTCCTCGTCCTTTTTATCGTTTCGGGTGGTTAAGCTCCTCTCGATCCTGCTCTTATTGTAGTCGACGGGAGTTTAGCAATGGATTTCATTGGGAACTGGATCCGGCCCAGTGACTTTACGTTCAGAAAAACATCAAAGAGTGAGTGATAGGCAATGTGGAACACACATGGGAAGCTCAAAAGCCTTTTCTACCAAAACGTGTTTCGCAGTGTTTTTCTGTTCTTCTCTCTCCACCCCTCGCCCCCCCCCCACTTTACAATGGGAAGGGAGAGGGCTCTAGATACAATGATACGGTAGCGGGGCTGTTCACAGACAAGAGACAGAGAGAAAACCCTTCAGCAAAAGCATTTGCATTAACTGAGCAGGGGAATGTGGGGAGGAAGTGCCAGTTTCCTTTCTTCCTCTCCGGGACATACATACCAACAGTGAAACCCAGTGAACGGAGAGGACAGATTATCAACCGGTAATAATCATCAAACATGGTGACTTATTACCTTGTTGGATCCCTTTGGATATAACCAGTCTCCACCTTGACCCAGTACTAGTCCCCACCCAGCAGTCAGCAACACCAGCCAGTCCTCAAGCTAGCATCGGCCCCCAAATACAGCACCCTCAACCAGCCTGACACCCAACACCAGCACGCGGACCAGCAGCCAGCACTCCATGCCCTGATACCCCACCAGCTCCTGATGGAACCTGATAGCCCTATACCCAGCTCTAGCAACCCCAGGAGACCTAAACCTACCCCACCTATCTATCCCACAGCAACAGTCCCGCCAGCACCCCCACTCAGCACCAATATATGACCCACAGTTACTTGTCATGACCCACAACCTATTGCAGGATTAGGATGGGCCGTGGTAAAAAACTGCAGGGGGCTTTTGGGATTCCACGTGGAACAAGAACCCCCAGTTTGAATGGTCACAAATAAAATTACTTCAGAAATTCCTCTTATAGAAACATAAAGATTAAAGTTGCATTTCAGTATGGAACTGGGGATCCGTATTGACATAATAAAAGCACCAGTATTTCAACTAGCATTTGTTATATTGACCCTATAGATCATATTAAGTGTATTGGAAGGGAAAGCTAGTGTATTTGTTTTGCTGTAAGTCTGAGATATGGTAGTTGGAATAGATCACTAGAAACCCAATTGTCTTTGATCTGAGGCCCCAGTATTCCAAACACCTCCTCCACACATGCTTTCACTTCCAGCAGTGAATGTCTCTCTGAAGTCATTGAGATTGTTCACCTGCTTAAAGATAAGCACCTGTGTAAGTATTTGCATCATAGGGGGCCTTTGAGACTATAGCTATATTCCTTGATATAATCTAAAAGAAAGGCAGAACCTGCACTCCTTTATATACCACTGAAGCAAATAGGAGTTTGACTTGACTAAGGAATGGCAAATGGGGCCCAGAAGCCTTAACTAAAAGCAATTTGAATAAAATCTTCCCTCTGTATATGATACATAGCCTGTCAAATATATTTAAGTACATATTATAAAAGTCTGGGATTGGTGCTGAAAATGCAAATCTCATCTCTTTAGCAGTTTCCTCGAATATC